ATCTTATTTTTCCCCTGGAGGCCTAAAGCTAAGCTCCACCTGACACATTTATAGTTGAGCAAGATGTTATTGTGCATTCTACTGCTGTATTATTCTGAGCAAATGAATACATGTATATTCATAATAAAATTAACAATCTGAAGCAGAGCTAAAATACTACAGCTTTATCTTGCCCAATTTTTTTTTTACTTACGTAAAAAAGGTAATCATTTAAGCTGCTGTAAAAGTTACGCACACACCCTATGCCAATAAAATGTAACTGAACCACAAGAGATTATGATATCCAAGCTTGTTATGTTTGTACTTTTGAGCCAAGAAACTTTGTCCTAAAGATGTAGACTGTATTTCCAACTAGTACGGAGGGAAAATCAGAATACGTTACTGGTTGTAGTTCTCACTACAACTCACATATAGGACTTTCTCTTTTAAAAGACAGATTTGGGAATTAAGTTTATTTGCCAATCTTGGAAAACAAACGAAATAGAGAAATTTCCTAATAGAAAACAGTAATAAAGATAATTGGCTTTATAATTCCTCCACTTTACAGCAATTGGGTAATATATATAGATTTGGATGCTCAAACCAAAGGACAGTACCAAAATGAGATTTCCCTCTTATCCATGATTAAGATAACATTTTTCATTACTGAGAATACATGAAATTTAAATTGCTTAAATGCAGCATTCTCTAAATTCCATTTTCAAGGGTATAGAAGCAGCTATTGAATACCTTTTCATGCTCTCGTATAGAATCCCCTAAATCTCTTGAGATCACTTGCGTTAATGTTGCCAAAGAACATCCCCATAAACCAGCTGACTGAAAAAAATGACTCAGTTCTCCTTCTTTATCTTGGAAGAAGCTGTAGTCTGTGAGTCAGGAAGCTCAGCTGGCTCTCAGGATGAACTAGAAGGAAATCACTTGAGAGACCTGTCTGTGTTTCTCTTCTGTCAAGGACACTGTTTACAATGGCGTCATAGGGGAAAAAATGAAGACATTCACTGGGTCAAAATACTGCATAAATTATTTCCCTCTTGAAATCACTGCTCTGAACCGCACTTTCCAAAATACCATAGCATTCTTCTTTGATATTTGCTCATACTCAATCAGAGCTTCTTTGCTTTCATGAATTTTCTTCCAAGGTAATCAGTAGGTCACAAATCAGGAGGGCAGAGGACAGAGCAAAACTGATTCTATACCAGTTTAAGAGCAATGCTTTTTGCAAAAAAAAGGGGGGGGGGGCGATGCTTTTTGCAATGGAAAAATTTCCCTCACCAAAGAGATCCACCAAAAACTGGCTTCATAATAATCTTGGGAACAATCTGACTTTGATTCATTATTATTATTTTTTAAACTTCATTAACATTAACTTCAGTCAAATTCAAACAAAAACGCTGTGGGAGAACTGACTACACCTAATTTTCTTTTGCAATTTGTCTGAAAGTGCTTTCTTCTGAGATGTGCTCAGCCACCAGATGCTATTCTCCTACAGAATTTCAACTCTCCCACTTCCCCTGGAAAAAGGGGAAGGCAGGGCTTCTCCGGGAGCACAAGGTGCATTTTAAAACTGGTTAATCCCTGGCAGTAGGTGAAGGTATGTATATATTCCTTTCTAGAATTCAAAGATTGCTTCAATGAGGGGTTTAGCAGAAATGAGGAACCAGACAAAGCCCTCCTTTCTGTTTTATCCATCAACACACTCCTCAATCTAAAGCAAGCTAATCCTCACAGAAAAGCATAAATCTTCAAACTATTGAGATTCCATGCCCACCCACCCCCCTTCCCCATCATAGGCTTGCTCCTCTCAAAAGAGGGCATGCCAGGCTGTATACTTCTATAAAGTATTCTGTGCCTTAGATCAGAGTTTGGAAACTAAAGCCATGATCTGTAACTATTTCACATTAAAGAAAGCAAGTTTGTTATAATTCCCATCAGAAAGTAATCAATGTATCTGTTGTGTTTACAGGTTCTAATCTGAGAGCTGAGGCATAGTTTATGTCCTGCTTTAACTGATACTGCATTTCTAAGTGACTGCCTTTCTCCACAACTCGAATGAATACTCAAACCAAATATTAAATGCTTTCAAAATACTGACCCAAAATCTAATTTTTAAAACGTAGGCAAACGTGACCTCTCATTCAACAGATGTCTCCCACTTCTGGGAGAAAACAATGAACTACAAAGCAAAACAAAATAATCAACTTCCTACTTTTAGGTGCTTTCTCCCCTACTTTTAGGTTTAAAATGAGGGAGGGGGCTGGTTAACTTCAATTTATAATGGTTCACAAGCTAAGAAATAGGTAGTCCCTCCCTCATTCAAAATACTTCTAGCTTATGCGGGAGATACCAAAAATGTGAGACAACATCTTAAGGAGCTGACTATAGAAAAGAATACACTGACTAGCCTACTCACATGAAAAATTAGTCATATACCAACCATAAGTATCAAATGGAAGAATATTACCTTATAGCAATGACAATGACAGAAAAGTGCTATGGCCACCTCATGTATTCACTGTCAGTGTCACAAAATTCACTTTCATCTAAGTTCTCATCTACCTCTTCTATTAAGAAAAAAAAAAGTCAAACTATTTTAAATAGTGCACAATGAAACAACCGTGTTTAGAACAAACTGAGCTCTGAATCTTAAGGGCCAATGAGTCCAACAATCCAAACTAATTGTTCCGAGAGCAAACAGATACTGTGGGTGGCACTTGGGCAAGATTTTACTACCCTAGATTATAAATCAGAGGTGATGGTTTTGTTTCTCTTAGCACTACTCTCAACAATTTGACCCAGCTTGAGGTTTCCTCGAAATCCAAAAATATGTGCGATCTTCTCTTTAGATCTCAAAGATTATCTACTGTCCCACAAAACACAATGTCTAGGGGCGCCTGGGTGGCTCAGTCGGCTGAGCGTCTGCCTTCGGGCTCAGGTCATGGAGATCCCAGAGTCCTGGGATCAAACCCCACATCACATTGGGCTCCCAGCTCAGTGGGGAGTCTGCTCCTCCCTCTCCCCCCTGCTCATGCTCTCTCTTTCAAATAAATCTTAAAAAAAAAAACACCACCACAATGTCTAAATGAGCACAGACCACATTCCAGATGTAACTGTAGAAAGTGAATATTTACAACTTGTGAGATACACTCCTATTATGCAGGCTAAGAAAACAACAGCCATCATGGCCCTGTGGCTTTGTTCCTAGTTCAAGGGCATGTCTGAAGGCCAGGTATAAGAGCAGAATATATACAGTCCTCCTGTTTCAATTGCTAACAAGTTGAACTACCATACCGATAATTCAGATTTTTCCATTTTGTAGCAAAGCACTTTTAGCAGAAATTGCTTTTTGTACACTTACATTGAGGCTTTGCAGTTCCCTTTTCACACCTCCCCTCAGGATTGAAGGGAAAGTCTGGAAGTAAGGAAATGCTGCTCAGCAGCTCCAGTCAGGCACTGCTCCACCTATGTGACCTCAGGCGAGAAACAGGCTGGCTGGGCCTCAGTTTCCTCAACTATAAATGGGAAAAATAAAAAGTACTTACCTATTTAAGTGACTGAGAAGGATCAAAGAGATAATCCAATTAAGGCAGCTGTGCCTGGCACACTGCATGCAGTGTCCAATTAGCTATTATCTCATTTTATTCTTAGTTTAAGAGCTGAGGCATTGAAATCACTTGCACCTGAGTTCAGATCCCAGGCCTGTATTATTGAGTTCTGTTGGATAGTATTTACTTAGTTTCTGAGACTAAGGTATCTTAATCTAAGGCTTTATTCCAAAGACCCCCTTGGCAGTTAAATTTCATTAGAGGTGAGCAAACAAAGATGCCACTTTTGCTTCTCATCTAAGTTTTCCCACTACTTGGTCCCAAGAACCCCTTTCTTAGAACAACCAAGAACATGGGGCAGGGGATAAACCACAGAGTTGAGAGGATTAAATATAAAAAGCAGATGGTGCACTATATGGAGTAGTTGGTTCTCTTCCTAGAAAGTTCTCTTAGGAAAAAATCTTGAATTTCAACTTCAGCACTGGGGCATCTATTTCTTTTAGTGGTACACCTGGGTTTTCAGACCTGAAACATAGTTAGCCTTCTAAGACATCCCCAAATCACTGTACTACATCAAATATCAACTCGAAGAGCCCTATTACTTTAAATAGGTGACACCAAACTGCTTTCTAGTAAAACTAAAAGTTAAAAAAGAACTTATTATATAACTCTAAGTTTCCCTTAGCGCCAACTGCTGTCACAACTAAAATGAACTCACACACAACAGTCTCAGTCGTGTAATGATCACTGATGCCTTGTCATCACTCCTTAACACTCATTACAAAAGAAAAAAAAAAAAGGGAACCAACCATGGAAAGTCAGAGCTTGAGGTTCTTACAATAGCGTTCCTCTGACAGCAACTGCAGTTCATTATCCTCTCCCCTCACCAACCCCGGTACATTCCCAGTCTTTGCCTACTCAGCAGATTGTCCGCAAGCTGTGCCGTTTTATGTGGAATACATTTCAGCAGTAAAATTTTCGATCACTCCCCTGCCAAATTCTCGACCACCTCCAAGGCGAGCTGTTTTTACATTGATTTCTAAAATTCCGATCAAAATACTAGCTCCCCGCCACCCCCAAATCCGGAGAACCAAAGGGAGGTGCACAAAGAAACTAAATTAAAATTCGGGAAAGGCAAACAAGTTAAAACAACTTAATTCCTCCGAAAATAATTATTTTGGAAGACGGAAGAAATTTAACTTTTAACTTTAACTCAACCCCTCTCCTCTGCAGGAATTATCCAGTATGCTCTCCCAACTGTTTTTTTGTTTTTGTTTTTAAATCTGACGTTAAGCAGTGACCCACAGCATTGGGAATGATGAGAAAGCAATGACAAAGCTGCTTCCTGCCGGTCTTCCTCGCAGCACCCCAACCCTCCCTCCCCCCCCCCTGCCCGCAACCTTCAATTCCCCTAGCCACAAACACATTTAAAAAAGTTTCTCTCGGTGCCCTGCTTACCTTGACTGGGCTGCCATAATTCAGTTTACAGAGCTCAAGGACTTCTGTCCATCGGAGCCTTCAACCCGCGGCCCTTCTGCCAGCGCCGCGCTCACCATTTGCCGGGGCCGGGCGGGGACCGTCTCTCCTGCGCGACTCCCCGGTGTTACGGGACTACCTGCTCCGGAGCCCGGGCGTCCTCAGCGCAGCCTCGGGCTCCGACCGTATTGGCCCGCACTAATCCTGATGGACATCCGGGCACTGGGGCCTCTGCAGGCGAACTACACTTTGGACCAGCTCGGGGAACGTCGCGTCCGAATTCAGAGCCAGTGAGATCCCTCGGGGCGATTTCGCAGAAGGGAAACCCAAGAAGCCCACGTCCACAGCCCACCAGCGCACAGCTCCCACCGAGCGGCACTAGAACTCGGGCCAGCGTTAGAAGAGAAGCGAAATCGTCTTCTGGCTCACTGAAAGTTGTCCGAGTTCGCCTGAACACCCCCTGTCAAGAAAGTTCTGGTGGTACGGTCCACCTCCTTAAATGGGCACGGCGCTCCGCCAGCCCGAGCCGGAGGCTGCGCCGAGCGGGGGCATCTAGTCCGAGCGCCGGCGCAGCCCTGCTCGCTCGCTCGCGGCCGAGCCCCGCCTGCAGGCTCCTGGCTAGTGCTCTCTTGCCAGGTTTTAAACAATGTACGAACACACCGCGGGAACACACAGTACCCGGCCGCTCAGAACTCCAGCTCCAATTTGAATATTTGTTGAATATTGGGCCCCAAGAGGCTGCAGTGAGCAAGGAATAAAACCACCAGCAGTAAACCACGGTCGCTACTTTAGATCATTCCAATGCTTGCGGTCAGGAAATGTGCAACTAACGCACCCTTGTTTTACTTTGTTCGCTTTCAGTTTTGATTTCATTACATTGAGAAAACATTTACAAAACGCCCTTCCCTTTTTTGGACAACATACAGATTACAGAGTAAACAGTAACTCATTTTGGGGTTGCCATTTAAAAAACAATCACTGAGGATGCAAACCAACAATGTAGTAAACACGATGTAAGAAGTACAAACGAGAAAACGGGTCGTACTAAGAGCACCAGGGAAGGCATTTAAACAGTGCCTAAAGGTAAGCAGGACAAACCTCAGGTGGGCAGAGAGGGAGGGAGGCTGTGCTACAGTATCTCCCGGGGATCCAGCAGCACAATGTCCAAACTGGAAACTCTTAAAAGAATGAATGCCTGTCCTGGAGACTCCTCAGTTCTACCTGGAACCGTTGCAGTGTTGTCCACCTCACGAACAGATAGTCCAGACTGTGTTACTAACAAGCCACGGAATGGACGTGTTGACCTCTGGCAAGAAAAAATACAATGCTGGGAGGAAGGCCCAATGCATCTTTATGTGTGATTCTCAAAGTGTGATTAGTGGACTCCTGGGAGTCCCCAAGAACTTCTCAGAGGTCAAAACTATTTTTAGAGTAACACAAAGATATGATCTATCTTTTTCACTGCGCTGACATTTGCACTAATGGTGCAAAAGCAATTGTGGGGTAACTGCAGGCGCCTTAGCACCAACCAAGGCAGTGGCTGCAAACGGAACTAGTGACACCGCATTCTCCACCACCACACACTAGCGGTTAAAACAAGTGTCCTTTAAGAAGGTCCTTAATGAAGCAAGCAGTAGGAATTACTACTTTTGTCAAATCTCAACAAGGCCTAGAGCAGAGGTTTTTGACTTTTTTGTGACGTTGTGACAAAATGAGAAGTACACACGAACCACTCTGCTCCTGCAGAGTGGAGTACAATCGTCTGGAAGAAAAGCACGTGTGTAATTGAGTTGCGAGATAAACCAGCTGTTTGTTTTTTTTTCCCACGGACTACCATTTTTACGTGCAAGAACAACTGATGAACTGTGGTTTTTCTGACTTGGGTTTTTGGCAGTCATTTTCTCAAAAATGAACAAAGTGAGTCTGTTTCCTCAAGGAAAACAATTGACAGTATTTATTGCCAATGATAAGATTTGAGCTTTCAAGCATTCTGGAAAACTTTACATCTGCCACTGTGAGCTTTATAGCTTCCCAATAATTAAAAGACTTTTTCCAGTGAAATTGAAGGAGGACCCAGTTATAGCCTTGACTGACTCCATTTTGCCTTCAAATCTGTTCCTCTTAATTGTTGTGTTTCCCCCCCCTCCAGCTTTATCTGTTAACTCAGGCAAGGGACCCAGTGGGCAAAACATCCAGTGATGGAAACCGAAACTACCCCCTCAAGAAACAAGGGCTGGCTGCCCTGACACCAGCAAGACCCTGCAAGATTGACCCCCAAGAAATAATCAACCTGAATTTTTGCTGCTCAGCTGCAGAGTACCCACCAATCTTGGTTCTGCGTTTTCCCTATATAAACTTAGACGTATTCTCAGCACCTTGGAGACAGTTCTTAGGACATTAGCCCACTGTCTTCCTGGTGCTGGCTTCACTGAAATGAATTCCTTTCTTGTTTCACCACCCCTGGTCTCTAATCCTTTAGATTTCGTTAGCAGTGAGTGGCAGAACCTGGTGTGTTTGCCGCCCAACCCCCCCCCCACCCCAGGGGTCAGGTGCTCCTGCACCCTTGGCCTCCAGTAACACATTTTCTGGTGAGCCGGCCAGAAGCTGTGCTTCCGTTTTGTCCAGCCCTCTTGGGATCCCCGGATGGAGCAGCTGGAGGCAGGGCGCTCAGGGCTCGCCCGTTCATTTCCCAAATCAGGGACTATGACGGGTGGGAGACAACCACTACGGACCACAGGCAGGGAGAGTGAGGAGAACAGTCCCTGACAGCTGCGAAAACTTGTTTTGGGGACACTCCTTTTCGCTCGCCCCAGATAGGCACGAACTGCCTTAGCCACGTTTGGCGAAGCAGAGAAATGAACTGAGGGTAAGTGGGCCCTGAAAGATTTGGTTCCTGGTAAGTTCCTCCTTAGTGCATGCTGGACCCTGTCCTTCCCTAGTTCCCTGTTGTCTGAGCTCCTGGGAACCATTTTGAGCTGGCGTGGCTCGTTCATATGATTTGCAACAAGGAATTTATAGAATTCATCATTAGAGGTACCATTAGAAAAGGAGAAGGGACGAGTGGCAAGTAGGGAAGTCAGGATATGTGTTTGTAAGATCTCTTGAAGTTTGTGTAAGAATGGGAAGTGCTATTTCTATACCCTCTCACAGCCCCCTAAGGAGAATATTGGCTGACTAGTCTATTTTTAGCTATGAACCTATGACTAAAAAGAAGATGGTATTTTACTGTTCCACCACGTGGCCTGTGTATATGTTAAGCTCAGAGGAAAGATGGTACTGAATGGCTCTCTTAGAGTTCTTCCTACCATTCAGTGACCACCCCCAAAGAGGGGGTTTTGATTTGGCTCTCTTAGCTTGTCTAGAAGCTGTTTGGTTCAGCCAGTGAAGCCCCGACTTTTGGGAAAGAATGAATGCTAACAGAGGTACTCTGAGCTTCATTTAGTGTTTCTTCTGTGTTCTTTCTGAACCTCTGCCTAGGAAGATGGGAGATACTTCTGTTTCCAAAGAAAGTTCATTAGGACATATTTTGAATAAATGATGTAGAGGGCTAAAAAGCAACCAGAGAAAAAAGTCTGTTTTGCAAGGGGAAGAGACAGGAGATGGAGATAAAGGAATGTTAGTCCAAACTTTGAATCTACCTCCAGCCTTGCTGGGGGCACCCCTGCCACCTCTGCCACCACCTCCCCCACCCCCTCCTGTTCCTACATCACCACTCGTTTGGCTCGCACAGGTGGCTCCTTCGTTATCCTTGGTGCTTCCGGTGCCAAAGCACCCCAAGCTTTTGGGCCCCCTCTATATGAGGTTCGAGCTGAGGTAACCTCCCAAATCCGCATGAAGGCGTCCAGGGGCTCTCCTAGACTCAACCCACCCACTTCAGATTTCCCCACAGGAGCCCCAGGTAAAACTGACAGTGGGGAACAAAGTGATGGACTGTTCAGTGGACACAGGTGCAGCACACCCGGTATCAAAGCTAATGCAAAGCTGTTGGTTTAATTAAAAAAGACAGGTCTTGGGCGCCTGGGTGGCTCAGTCGGTTAAGCGACTGCCTTCGGCTCAGGTCATGATCCTGGAGTCCCGGGATCGAGTCCCGCGTCGGGCTCCCTGCTCGGTGG